TCCTAGCTCTGTTCATCAACAGATCCCAGCTCTGTTCATCAACAGATCCCAGCTCTGCTCATCAACAGATCCCAGCTCTGTTCATCAACAGATCCCAGCTCTGTTCATCAACAGATCCTAGCTCTGTTCATCAACAGATCCCAGCTCTGCTCATCAACAGATCCCAGCTCTGCTCATCAACAGATCCCAGCTCTGTTCATCAACAGATCCCAGCTCTGTTCATCAACAGATCCCAACACTGGGGATCAAAAAATCAAATCCCATTTAATAGTAGAGGCCAGATCCGTGCAATAAATATAAAGACGAGCTCTGTTCAACATGGACCTGTTGTTTATAAAGAACTGTGCTAGTCCATGAACAGAGAAAATCAGAGCAAATGACATCACTAATCAATAAATGGAATACTTGAGTTTCTAATATAAATTTTTTGCTCAGATGAATACAAAGTCAGATGAATGTTCTGGACTACTAAATTCAAAAAATTGTGCCATATTGCACACTGTAGCTGTTACAAAATAATAAAAAATTTGTACAGACTTGAAACAATTGTTACTCAATTTTTCATGGAGGAAAATGTTTTAGTATATATACATAACTTGACACAAAAGCTTACATTTTAGCATAACAGAGCTGCTCTCTGTTTTGGCATCCATCACTATTGGTGTAGTTGGGCAAAAATTGTTCTTAAATGAATGTTTGACTGAAAACCATAGAGTAATTTATATTGTTCTTCTCAAATTGGTAAATTAAGCATTTTTAGGATTAAAAAAGTTCAAAAATGAGGTCCCCAAAGAACATTTTATAATAATAATAATATTATACAATATTAAAAATGAGCATTAATATTCAAGTAAAGGATATATTTAAAGGTTGTTGCAAAGCTAAAATTTGTGATTTTAGATTGAATGAGCACTAACAGGAGGTATCATAAAATTTAATAATTAATACTCAAAATAACTTTGAAATTAACTTCAACATCATGAAATATCTTGTGGTTTAAAAATGATAGGTGGAGACACATCTATGAATGATAACAGGGGGCTTCAGCTATAGCCAGTCTTGAGGTGTTAGGGCAGTACATGACATATGGTAACTGGTGCAAGCCTGGGCAGCATTAGTGCTGGGCTTGTTGCGAGATTCTCTCATGTACCGTAGTTCCTTGGCCCTCCAGGCTGGAGGTGGCAGCTTTACATAATTATTGCCAAATCATTATAGTTTATGTTTTGATGATATCTACAGGGTGACACAAAAAAAACAGAGCTCACTAAAAGTCTTATAACTCCTGAAATTTTATTCAGTTTGAAACAAAAATTCTATGGAATTATGTACAACCTATGTAGCCAACATCTGCAAAATCTCAATTCTATACCACAAAAACTCTTTGTTCTACAGACTGTAGTCCAAGGCATCTCGAAGCTCACACGTGGTAGACTCTTAGATCAATCCGTCTTCTTAATGAATCTGAAACAAATAACAGGATTACTTGAGTATTGTGGAAATTATTCAACTTTTTATGAGCTCTGTTTTTTTTGTGTCACCCTGTACATCATTCCATATGGCAAGAAAACAACATTGGTTTCTTGATGGAACCACAGGTATCATTCTTTGTGACAAGGTTTTTTTATTTTCTTGTATTTGTAGTAGATATGAAGTTTGATTTTGTCATTTATTCAGTTGAGGTATACCGGTACCATAAAATGGGGTTACTTTGACCAGCAGGGTAACTTTGACAACTTTTTGTTTTTTTAACAAAAACCCCTGAAACTCAAAAATTATTTGACATAGAAAAATTTTGTCAATGGCCATCAAAGGCCTAATACTGAGGCTACGTAACACAATAGAAAGATTTAAAAAGTTTGCATATCTAATAGGTTAAAAAATTAATAAGGCCTAGTAGTTGGGGTTTCACGATCAGGAAGTAGTGGTGGCGGTATTCTGGGACGAGCTGAGCCGCGAAGTTCAGGGAGCCCAGAAGACTTTCCAAGCGTAGTCTTGAGGAATGCCCTCTGTCCCTCAGGCGTAACATGGAGTCGACGATGGAGGAGGCTGAGTCTGTTGGCAGAGACCACCAACTGTTTTGCAGCAGCCAACAGACGCCCAGCCAGGTGGTGTCTTGGGTGGGCTCTAGTGCTGACTTCTTCCAGTTGCCGGTTGATGAGGAAGCCCAGCGATTGGAGGAGGTCGAGAGCTCTTTGAGTTGACGCAAGAGCCTCTTGGGCGGATGCCCCCCAGATGAGCAAGTCGTCTATATATCCGAGCACGTGCACACCTTCCTTCCTGAGTGTCTGCAGGGGTGCATTGAGCGGCTTCGTAAAAATCAGGGGTCAATTGTTGGACAGCTTTCCGGGGTTTGTAGAGGCGGATGGAGCGGGCTTGGCCGCGTTATTGTTGCCGGAGGATTTAGGCTGTTGTCCCCTGAAGGGGTGACGGTTGCCTCGGCCGCCTCTGCTGCTTCTGCTGTTGGAGGAGTTGCCTCTGCGGCCTCTGCTAGAGTATAGACCTGTATTTTGCATGTTTCAATTCAAGTTTAACTTATCTAGTAAAAAAATGGCATCATTTTGAAAAAAATGGTCAAAGTTACCCCATTTCATGGTACTTGAAATGAGAACATTTCTCATGCAGTGCCCAGATGCTTCAAGTCAGGCAATTTCTGAAGTCCTTATTATCAAAGATGAATTTGCAGCTATCATTTACGCATAAATGTATTTTAAAATCTAATATAAATTCAAGAAAGTTTGTGTGTGTGGGTTTGTAGCCTGGGCCTCCTGGCACAACTAAAATTAAGCAACTCCAGCTCTAGAGTATTTGACGTTTGCATCAAATACTCCTCTTTGCCTTACTGTAACATATTAACTCTGTTGTAGGCAAGCAGAGAAATATACAGAAATTCAAGTTTGTGCAGCTGCTCAGTATAAAAAAGTGTGACAAATTCTAAAATATATTTAATGAGTAATTCTCAAAATTTTTTGTATTAAAGGATTACATAACAGTTGAATTAAATGAGGTAACCAGACAAATAAAATTAAAATAATTTACATCTAAACATCCAAATATCAAGGGAAACTGTCTGATTTTAATTTCTTTAAAATCCACTAAGTTACTTTTATTAATTGAATAAATATAGACAATAACAGGCAGAAAAAAATGCAGAATTTGTCAATTTTGTGTTATGAGAATGAAATTTTATTTGAATGCTGATGCTATACATATATAGTCAGATGGGGTAAGACAGGACCGAAATCACTAACAAGCCTGTAGCATCTATACCAAGAATAACTAAAAACCCTAAACCTATCACAAGATGTATTTATGAAATGGGATTCTAAGCTACATCTCAGACGTTTTGCATCTAACATAGTTTTCTGTACAGATTAAAAAAAGTGAGCTGGTCCCATCTTACCCCACTGGGGTAAGATGGGACCAGGCATGGGGTAAGACAGGACCAACTGGCAATTCTTATGTTACAAGGTTTTTAATAAAAGTACAAATCTGATATTCAATATTATCCATCTAGAAACACATTATTTGATTAAACAACCACTTGTTACTGTTTTGTGCTGCGGGAAGTCAACTCTAATGTCAGTCACATTGGAGGTTTTGTAATGAGAAAACTTTGTTAAGCATAGTAATAGTGG